ACAATTCAGAAAATCAAAGTAACTTTTCTATTGTTAAGCCAAACAGCAGGGTTAGAGTTAAACTATAGATGGTAGCTACCATACTTCAGTGTGTCTTCCTCTTGCAATTTTTGGAATAGTCTGAAGAGAATAGGCTTTAATTCTTCTTTGAATGCTTGGTAAAACTTCCCTCTAAAGCCATCGGACCAGGGCTTTTGTTTGCTGTAAGATTTTTTATCGCTGCCTTAATTTCTTTGGTAGTTATCAGCCTATTTAGGTTTTTTTCTTCTTCTTGATTGAGTTTTGGGAGCTTGTATTTTTCTAAGAATATGTCCATTTCGTCTATGTTGGAATAAAGTTGTTCATAGTATTTTTTCATAATCATTTTTATTTTTGTGGGATTGGTTGTTATTTTGCCTCTTTCATTTCTGATTTTGTTTATTTGGGTCCTCTCTCTTTGCTTCTTGGTGAGCCTGGCTATAGGTTCATCAATCTTGTTTATCCTTTCAAAGTTTGTTGAATTTGTCTTCCAACCTTTTCAGTGTCCTTATGATCATTGTTCTGAATTCTTTCTCTGACATATTGCTTGCCTTCATTTTGTTTATTTCCTTTTCTGATCATTCTTCCTTTTCTTTCATATGCGGGCTTTTTCTTTGTCTTCCCATGATCTCTCCTCTCAAGGTGTCTGGTTAAGTAGCTCTCTCTCTCTCTCTTGCGTTGACTTTTTCTAGGCAATATCTGACCTTTCAGTCCACGGATTGCCTCACAAGCTGTGTTTAATTCACCAATTCCGTGTCGGTGTTATTCGATTCAGCTGCTCCTTCTATCTGCTCTGTGAGAACATGTAGGGCCCGTCTGCGTATTCAGCGCTGCTTTGTCTGCCCCTGAACAGACTTTTTAGGCACCCGTGGTCAGGGAGGCTGGCATCCTGGTGTTCATGGTTTTGCACCTAAGGCAGCTGGTCCCTGGGCGTTGTGGTTGTTGTGTTCTGGGAGTTATCTGAGGTCACCCTGTTTGAAGGTAAGGCTGGGCTTCAGATCACAGCCGGTCTCCCCTTAAAGATGGTGCAGTCTCTGTGGCAGAGCCAGCTGCTCCGGGAGATATTTCAGCAGCAATAGAGGCTCCCTGGCCCGGGGAGCCCAGTCCACCAGTCCCCAACAGTCCTGCAGAACATAGCTGTCCCTCACTCACAAATAGACACTCCCTGCATGTCCACACACTCTCCTTTTATTCTCTCACTCACACACTATCTTGCAGCCTGCTGTCCTGTCAGCAGCCATCTTGGATCTTGTCAGCAGGCTCATGTTTTAATAACCATCTTAAAATTTCAGGGTAGGCAAACGGCTTTTATAAGGGGATCGTGTGAGGAGGGGAACTAAGAAATTATGGTGATGTACAGTTTCACATTCCTTCTTTATGTGGTTTATTGTCCTTGCTCCAATATTATCTGTCTGTCTACTATATTTTCCCCTTATGAATCTTTGCTCTGAATCTTTTCAGGGAAAAGGGGTGCAGCGTATTTTCTGTAGCTGCTTCCTGCTGAAAAGGGTCAATGTTTTCTTTCAGAACCAAGAGATCTTTGTTCTCTGTCAGAGCGGTGATACAGCCTGGGCACTGAAGATGGCGGTGATGGTATCCAGGGGAGATATTCCCTTAGTAGGAGTAGTGCTTCTTCCACTGCTTCAGTTTTGTTTTTTTTTCACATTGAGGTGGGAAGTCACTCTTGCTGTTCCTGTAACCTACACAGGGTTTACGTATTAGCATTAATTCTCCATTGTTCCCAGTACTTCAGTGTCTCCCGGACCATCAGGAGGAGAATTAGAGTATTTAAAATATATCTTGCCTTATTATTTCTACTTCTTCCTGATTTTTATTGTCTGGGGGAAGAGTGAGATATTTCCCCCTCTTTTATTTATCAATTTAGATCCCTTTTGAGTAGAAGTTTTATAATGTTTCAATATAATCGCTTGCATATAAGATATCTTAACCTATTTCAAAACAGAAATAAAAACATCTAATACAAACAAGTACTCTCAAAAAGAGGGACAGAGAATCCTTCCTCCTTTGAACCTTATCACCCACCAACAGGTACAGCAAATGAACTTCATATGGTCTAAATGGCACAAAGCCTAAATGCAGGAGGCAGGATTCTCTGTGTACATAAAACAGTAAAGAGAAAACCAAGTCCCCTAAAGATAAGAAAGCAAACAAAGAACACCTGTAACCCAAGTTTCATTTCAGCCATATGAGAGCTCTCAGAGAGCTCTCAAACAGAACACAACACAACAGAAAAAATGAGAGTTATCAAACCAAAACTGCCTTCCTCCCATGGTGGAACAGGGATTAGTACAGAGAAATAAAACTAACAGGTAAAGACCAGTATGATTCCCATATCTCAATGATTTAGATTTCTAGAGGAAATGTTACTATTGTAATACCCCACAAAACATATACAACCATAAAAGTATATAATATCTAAAAATCCATAACTGAATTCAGAAGCACGCAAATCAGACTGAAACCCAACTGGGGTGCTAGGATTTTCCTTAGTCACTAACCCTTCCCATTCACTGAGTGGCACCTATTTGATTTCTTCTGAGATACAAACTGTTCAAAGAAAGCAGATGGTGGGGCAACAGGCTACTGGTTGTGAACCCCAGAAACCACCTAATTTGTACTCATTAGTCCACCAGCAACCCATATCCTTCCTTTAGCTGGGTGTATGTAGCAAGCAACCTGCACTGGAAGAAAGCAAGGGACAGTTGCTGAATAAAATCACTAGGCAGCTTTTAGGGACTCCTAGGAACTCTCACAGAGCTGGTCAGCTGCAAACAACTGAGGGACCCCTTCCAAAGTCCAGGGACTTCCTGGGAGGCTCCCACTCAGCTCTCCTAGCTGGCTTGCTAAAAATGAAACTGGCCCAAATGACCCTCAGGTTATTTTGCCTGCTGTCTTGAAGCCAAACACAGAACACAGGTGCTGATGGAAGGAAAGTGATTTATTCAGGAGCTGATACCCTGAGAAGATGGCAAGATCATGCCTTAACAAGCATCTCAACATCGCAGGGTAGGCAAAGGACTTTTATTAGGGAGATTGTGGGAAGAGGGTAACAAAGGAATTGTGGCAATATGCAGTTTCACATTCCAGCTCTCAGGTGGTTTTGATGTTCTCTTTTGTGTGTGCCAGCATCTGGTTTTTATATCACTCTGTGGGTTTTATTGCTGATTGCTGGGGACAGAATGTTTCAGTCCTGGCCAGTGATTGGATCTGCTATACTCCTGTGGTTGAGGCCCGCAAAAAGTGCAATTGAGAAAACTAGAGGCCCGGTGCACAAAAGTTTGTGCACTCGGGGGGAAGAGGGGGTCCCTCAGCCCGGCCTGTGCCCTCTTGCAGTCTGGGAACCCTCGGGAGATAACGACCTGCTGGCTTAGGCCTGCTCCCGGGTGGCAGAGGGCAGGCCCAAACCCTAGGTGCAGCCCCTGGTCGGGCTCAGAGCAGGGTGGATAGGGAGGTTGTGGAACCGCCCCCTGTCACACACAGAGCCGCAGGGTGATCAGGGGGTTGGGGCGCCGCACCCTGTCACACACAGAGCCGCAG